CCTCCCCTATCCTGGGGGAGGGAAAGGGAGGTTTTGCCATTAATTAAAAAATATTATAAGACCAAGCAAGGAAAGAAAATAAGAGCAGTTTGATTTAGGCTGACAAACAACGACAAAAAACCCACCATAGCTCAATTTGCAGGCACGGGTAGGAGAACACCAACGCCCCACGACCGTTTACTGTGACTCAGACGTCCCAGAAAGAGGCCCCAAGGTGTGTGTGGGGAAGAGGAACGCGAAGGGCAACCAAGGGCTCCAGAGGTCTCACCACTGCCAGGTCCCTGTCCTCTCAATTGCCTCTTCTCACTCAGGACAGTGTCCGGGTGACAACTGCGGCTGGAACACAGAACGCTCCAGATGGAGCTATTCAACAGGTGAAAAGTGCACACCCCGGAGGGTGATGACCACTCAGTGAGGGGACGGAAGCTGTCGTCCCAGACCCTTACAAGCTGCCCGTCCTCCTTGTGAGTGACCTTGCTCCGTGGTGGAGATCAGCAGAACCCCCAAGGGGTCATCCCTGCTTGTCCTTCCCCTTCCAAAGAGCCCCAAGGAGCCCGTGGCAGAGCCGGGAGGCAGGGAGGAAGGGTCTGCCTGGTGGGACTTTTTAAAAGCGTGACCGACCACTCATCTGCTCAGCCAGGTCCTGCCCAGGACAGAGGAGCTCAGCGAGGCCTCTGCCCCTCAGCTGTCAGAGCCACTTAGAGCCAGGGCCACCCCAGCGCTGCCTACGTCAGTGGGAGCCCTGTGCATCCCAGAGACAGTGAGCTTCACTGACGGGGCAGGGATGCAGTGGACATAGGTCACTCTGGGCTGTCCAGCATCCATCCTCCTTCTCCCCCGGCTAAAGCACACTGATCCCCTTTAGAGAAGCCCCCCCCCCCAACCTTCACCTTACGGGAGGGCCGCTGCTGCCTTCCCTGTGGAAACCCAAAGGGCCAGGGCCTCCCTTGCCCCAGGGCAGGTTGGGAGGGTGGGACAGACCACCCATCCTGGCAGGACTCGGGACTGTGGGCTGGCGACAGACGGCTGTGGGGGTGGATGGAGGCTGCTCCCAGCCACAGTGGCACCTGGACCAGACAGGACTTGCATGGCACCTGTGGCCTGGTCCTCCCCGGCTCCCCAGCCCCACGGCAGCCCTGTTCCGATAAATGCCCCTTCTGCTCATTCCTCACATTGAGGATCCAGGCTGATGCAGACTGAGCAGCACAAAGTATTTTCCACGGATTCCCCCAAATCCTCTCAGTACCTCAGAGATTCTTGCAAGGTATCATTCAAATTGATCTCTGAAATCTATTTTAAGCTATTTTTAAAACAGTAATTAAAACACAACGGTAGGTTACCTTTGAGGAGGTCCTGAGGGAGAGGACCACGGGACCCTGAGGGAACCTTCTGGGGGACTGAAATTCTTTACTTTGATCCGAGTGGTGGTTTTGAGAGTACAGGTGTTCGAGTGTGTGACAATGTGAACGTACTTACTGCCACTGACCTGTATGCTTAAGAGTGGTTAGGATGGCAAATTTCATGTCGCATATATTTCATCATAATTTAAAAAACACAGATTAAAACAGAACTCAAAATACTGCTTTAAAACCATCTCAATAAGTATGAGATAAGCCAAAAAAAGAAGAAAGAGTACAAGCATAAATTAAAAATCCATCAAGATTTGTGCTCTTTACTACACATGGGCCGCACCCCAATTACAACAAGGAGCAAACCCAAGACACGGAAGGACACAACACTGGCAAGCTTGAAGCTGTCCTAGCTATTCCGAGGCCCCAGCTATCTCATTTCTTATAGAACTCAGAGTGAACAACTCACGCCAGAGCTGGGTCCCAAGGTTTAAAGGCAGCTGCTCAAAATCTCTCAGCACTGACAAGCACACTTCGATGTGACTCAGATTATTTTTCTATTCTGAACAATCAAAATACAAAAATAAATTGGATGTTGCTATGACAAACTTATAGAGCTGGAATACAGACAAATGGGTGCCAGGGGTTAAGAAAGGGGAGGGTGCCAGGGGGTGGCTCTAAAGAGACAGCCCAAGGGAGCATCTTGGAGGTGATGGAGCTGTTCTATTCTTGATTGCCATGGTGAATGGACAAATCTGCACATGTGATATCATAGAACTATACGTAAAAATATACCAAAAAAAAAATAAGTGTATGCAGAAACCAGCAAAACCTGAGTAAGCTCTGTCGTCTAGTTCACTGTACTGTACTGGGGCCATCACTTCCCTGGTTCTGAGAGTGCACTAGAGGTACATGAGATGCCACCATCAGACGAAGTTGAGTGACAGATACAAGAGATCTCCCTGTAGTCTTTTGGCACCTTTTTTTTACTCTATAATTATTTCAAAATGATAAAAAATTTTAAATATAGAAATAAATAGGAAGTTGAGGTTGGTGTCTGACTGCCATAACCTCAGTTTTCACATGATTCTGTTCATCACATCACCTCATGGTTCTTACTGACTGGCCCAATAATCCATACAGGTAAAATATGACACATTAAAATAAATGTATATTAATAAAACACCACATAAGATTAATTTTTTAAAAAGGGATTTGACTCCTTTGGAAAAGGTGAAAATCACTGAGGTATTAGAAAGGACACACAACAGAGAGCAGGGGGGTTCCCTCAGCCACCCAGCTGTCACCTGAAGAACAATGTCTACACCTGCTCCCAGCCATTAAAAGACTTTCTTTTTAAGGAAAAAAGACATACACACCTGGGGGCGGGAGTGGGGGTGGGGGCATAAAGACATAAGATGTCCCCCGGTAACACGTGGCTAAGTGTCAAATGAGCAGTGCTGTGGACTGTACCGTTCCCCCAAAATTCCCGTGTTGATGCCCTAACCCCCAGTGAGACTGTACTGAGAGAGAGCCTGTACAGAGCTAAGTAGGGTTATGTGAGGCCGTACGGGCGGGGCTCCAGTCCAGTCAGACTGGTGTCCTTACAAGAAGAGGGAGAGACAACAGGGAGGTGCACACAGAGGAAAGGTCACGTGAGGGCACAGTGCGGAGGCTGCAAAGGACAGAGGCCTCGGGAGAAACCACCCTGCCGGCTCTTGGCTCTGGGAGACAATAAATGTCTGTGGTTCAAGCCACTTGGTCTGTGTGATATCGTGTTATGGCAGCCAGAGCAAATGAATAAAAAGTAGTACGGTGATGTGGTTTAGAAGAGGGAAGAATGCTTGATTGGAAGGAGCTGTCTGCCCTTCTAGAGGGGGCCTCAATATGGTACGTATCAATTCCCGGAATGTTCCTACCAAAAGAGAAAATGTTTACATATTCGAAAGAAAATAAAAGCCAGCTAGAAATCCCATGAAAGGAAACCACAGGATTAGATGCATGCTGTTGACCAACACTGGAGTTCCTTCACCTGCTCTCATTCATTCATTCTTTCATTCCTTCTGCATTCAAGCAACCAGCCCACAGTGGGGACCGTGCCTCTCAAGTCCTGTGCCAGGTGCAGGACAACACAGAGGCTGGAGGTGAGAGCGGGGTGCTGTGCAGTGCAGAGTCCTCTGGAGAGACATGCAGGCCAGGGTGTAAGGAGGATCCACATCTGCAAGGGAGCAGGAGGCACGTGGAGCGGAGGCAGCCCCAGGACAGGGGCAGGCGGCCATCACAGCTGACCTGCGAATTGGTCAACCTGGGAAGGAGGAGCCACTCTTGGGGACAGCACATGCCTTGGCAGCCCCATCAACGGACAGATAAACACGTACATGTCCCTACAGCCCCAGCCACACGTAGGCCTGTGTCAGCTAGCCCTCGAGACAAACGTATTTTACGTTGTCATCGTTTAGTAATTCTGCCATGGAGACAGCTCCCAAATAACAACGCGAGGATTGGTTAGTTGGCTTTTGTCACCTTACCCTCAGATCCACTTAGAGGACTGATGAAATATATTAAAAATCATTTTGCAAACTCTAAAATGTGACAGAAATGTCCACTATCATTTTACTAGATTTTGAAGGGCCTTATGAGTCACCCTGTCCAAAGTGACCATGTGATGGAGTGAGAAGCTGACTTACCCTAGGTCACCCAGCCCAGACACGGGCGAGCCAGACCCAGAATTGCGATTACCCAACTACTGGGGCTCCACGAGCAGCTCGGGCTTTTAACATGTGAATTTCACAGTATTATGTACTTTATCCTATACCATTTTCCTTCGTTTTACTACAATTCTAAGCACACAAGATCCATGGTTTTGCTTTTGGCAATGCAATACTGTATTTCAATTTCCTGGTGAACAAAGGTTTGTGCTAGGGCAGAACAAAACTGGAAACACTCTTGGTGTTTCCTCTCCTAACTGGGCACTCTCTTCCTACACTCCAAAGAGTGGTTTCCATTTGAAACTAACAAGAAGTCAAGAGCAAACCAGATATAAGTGAAAATGGGAGAGAAAGGAAAATGTCAAGAGAAGGGGAAGGGAAGAGGGTTGAGGAGGAGGGGCAGGGGAGGAAGGAAAATGTGTTTTTCCAGCACTGCATGTCAGTTTCAGCACTGACAAGAAAGCAACTAGCCTGGCTGGCACCAAGCTGGTGGAGGAGACGTCTTACAGTCATGCTTCACCTCTCAGGGCACTTGGCAAAGACATGCAAGAGAACAAACCACTAAGTTTCTTCTCATGACAACAACCGTATAACTCAGCAAACTTCTCCTCTTGCCCAGGTGGCCAAGACCCTTGGAACCAAATGTGTCCCCAACTGCCGATACCTCTGGGCAGCCTGGTGGCTCTTCCCCTTGGTTCAACTTCTCACATCTTCCTTATTAACCCTTTATCTGGACACCTTCTGCCATAAGTAACTTCAAAACTTTTCAGGAAAAAAAAAAAGCAAAATAAAGTCAAAGAACCAATGTACGAGAAAAGATGCAAGGGGCCGTGCAGAGCTTGTTTGAGGACAGCTCCTCCAGAGTGGAAGTGTTACCAAGAAGTCTCTAGGCTGTCCCAGGGTATATTAGCCGCTTAGATTATTATTCAGATTCTAAACTTACCAACAGTGTCGCATGGTTCATCTTTGTGTACGCAGAAATCTGTCCTAAAAACAAAAAAAGACATAGTCAGGTGCATACTGTACCCCCAAAGAATGGGAGAAGAAAACACTGTCAACCTTGTCTAGGTGTCCTACAATGTTGTCACTTCAGTCGTCACAAGTCATAATGAACAACAACTAACAGCGTTTGACAAGGGTAACCCATCCGCACCATCTGCAAGCCCAGTGACCCTCCACAAGACCCTCCTTTTACAGGTGAACTATTCCACACATAACAGTCGCTGGGAGGACTCCTTCTAAAAGAGGAAAATGTTTTGGAATGTGTTTGCCAAGACCAGAGACAATTCTCAGTCAATATCATCCAATTGTAGTGACTTCCCCAAGCTACTCTTTTCAGGAAGCAACTGCTCTTTGATGCTGTAATGACCACATATCACTTCCATGAGAAGAGAACCAAATCATCATTTCTAAAAATCGTGTTCTTGAAAGCGCCCCAGGATCCCCCAGGTGTGCGGCTGTGGCCCAGTTAGACAGCAAAGATGCTTGAAACCTGGTCCAACGCCAGTTCTGCAGATTCATCTGGCCTCTCATGGTGAAGCAGGGGTCTGGGCACGTCTTTTTCAATGCAGGAGTATTCCCACGGACCCTGCTATAAAATCCCATGCTCGGGGGCCAAGCACAGAGTGTGGGTTGAGGCAGCACCCCACCTGGGAGCTGGGCGAGGGGTGACAGCCAGACCCAGATGCAACCCCTCCTGGGCCCCACACCTGTCTTCTGCTCACCTTCTCATGCGGCCTGTGTGGGGACCAGAGACCGCACCCACTCACCGGCAGCTCTCTGAACACACTCAGGCACGGCCAGGATGTGACAGGTGTGTTCTGAAGCCACCTATCCTCACTTTCCATTTTAAACATTTTCAAGGAAGGAAGATGGGGCTAGCCAGACAAGGCGGACACCCGGCAAAGTTAGGACAGGAAGTGGTAGGTCCTGGCTGGGCTGCACCAGGCCCTCCCTTAGTGGCGTGTGGCCTCCCCTCTCTGATCTCCTTCTCCGCACACTGGCGCACACTGCCCCGGATGCCTCCTCTTCCCTCTAGCAACATCCACTCTCAGGGCAGGAGCTGACCTGCCCGGCAGTCCCACCAGGGGCACACGGACACAGAGAGCAGTGCAGGACTCTCCTAACCAGCTGCAGCCGTTGTCAGTCCCTCCACATCAGTCCACACCAATCCACAGCATGCCCTGGTATGTTTGCCTCCAATACATAACCCACATCTGACAACTCTCAGCCCCGCTTGGATTTCCAGGTACATGGAGAAAACCATGTGGGTCCCCAGCCCTGACTCTGCTTCAGGTTCAGGTCATGAATCACTCAGCCCATGCAGTCCCACACACCTGAACCCGCAGGTTGAAGAGGTTCCCCCTAGGGTCTCAATGTATAGACTCACAGGCCTAGGCCCGCTGCCTCAGGCAAAGGTGTCCCACCAGGTGCACTGGACATCCTGCCAGTTCAGAGGAGAGGGCAGGGCAGGCAGCCAGGTGGGTATGACAGTTTCACAGGTGTGGCCCTCGAGACCATCGGGAAAGAAAGCAAGGAGGAGATCAGAGTCAATCGGGTCAGGAACTCTCATGGGCTTTGTTACTAGAAGTTTCTAATTTTTTCATAACAAACAGATATCTTTGGTAATCAATTATTTATTTGGTAATTATTGACAAAATTTGTATGTATTTATGAAATACAATGTGATGTTTTGATATATGTCGACATTGTGAAATGATTAAATCAAGCTAATTAATATATCCAGCACCTTACCTACTTATCAATTTTCTGTGATGAAAACATTAAAATTCTACTCTCATCAACTTTCAAGTAGACATTAACTACTGATGGTTCCTGACTTATGATGGTGCAAATTGTGACTTTTTGACTTTACAGTGCAAAACTGACAATTTTGACATCGTGTACAGTGTTCAATGAATTACATGAAATATTCAACACTTTATTACAAAGTAGGCTTTATGCTAGATGAGCTTGCCCAGATGCAGGCTAACGTAGGTGCTCTGAGCACGTTTACGGTCGGTGGGGCTAAGCTATGGTGTTCGGTAGGTTAGATTTAGCAATTGCATTTCAACTTACGATATTTTCAATTTACGATGGGCTTATTGGGACATAACCCCATTGTAAGGTATGGAGCATCTGTAAGGTCACCGTGCTGATTAAGAGATCTCCAGAACTCATTCCTGGTAATTTAACAAAGGGGGAAAAAAAGCCTTTGGGACTCCGTGGTTGATAGCCTCACTCCAACGCCAAGGGAACCTCCGTGGAAACGGATGCAGAATAGCCATAAAGAGCTGAAAAGGAAAGTCTCTCCCTTGGGTTTTCTGTCAAAGACTCTCTTTTAGAAGACTAATGGACAGGCAGTGGAAGAAGCACTGGCAGAAAGGAAACCAAACAAATAGAATGAGGGACATCAATATGCTCACTGGTCCGGCGTCTACCTAGCCCCCAGCCAGCATGCCTGGACCGACAGCCTTCCCATGCCAGTGCTTTGAACATCACGCGCTCTCTCACACACTCCACACAAAGACCAGGCTGGCCCAACACCTTGCTCCAGCGGTTCTCAGGGTTGTGGGCTGAACGTGTTGGAAAGCTTTGTCCTGCTGCCTCAGCTGAGCAAGGGAGGAGAGAGAGTGTGGCCTTCAGTCCAACCAGAGAGAGCAGGCCCAGGTGAGGTGGGAGCCATCTTCGAGAAAGCCGGCCCTGCTGGCCGAGGATGACTCCACGTGTCCTCCCATCCCACAGCCTCCCCGGCGGGGAACAGGCAGTCAGTCCCCAATGGTAGACGCCAGGCACCACCCACTGCTTCTCCCGAGGAAAAGGGCAGACATGCTGACAGCTCAGGGAGGGTCACGCTCAATCAAAGCCTTGTCTTGAAAGCGGCGGCCAGAATTTCAATCTCCTCTTTCTTTCCTGTTCAAGTTCCTTTCTCAGAAGAGGAAAAGCAAGAGCCATCTGCCTGCAGGGGCGGCGTCATGTCCAGGGAACCTGGCCTGTTCCTTTAATTAGCAAGGACACTCGCTTTGTATGTCACGCCACTGCCAACTCACACCAAACCCCCACGCAGCGGCTGTGGGGTTCACTGGGGAGCAAAAGAAAAAACGAGGGCCAGCTATAGTTCCGGCCCTAAAGTCCATGGTGCACTCCTCGAGAGGAGACAGGCTGACACGGATCTGCACGACAGGGCTGGCTTCCTGGGCGCATGCTCCGAGGAGTCGCAGGGCTCCACGCTCAGAAGCTGCGGCCTCTCCAACTTGGGTGAATGCCCTGCTGTCGCCATCTTGAAATTCTTAGTAATTTTTGAACTTCGGGTCCATGCATTTTCATTTTGCTACAGGGCCCCACAAGTCATGCAAGCTGGTCCTGTGCATAGCCTACCGCCTGGCATACACTTGGGGCTCAATGAATACTGGATCCTTCATTAATTACCATATGTTTCCAGACATATGGTAATTCAATGGGCCCTACAAGCTCACCAGAGGCCACGTCCCTCGCCAGTGTTCAGAAACCTGGTAAAACGGACCACCACGCTCAACAGACACTCGCTGAGCTCTCACCATGGCAAAGCTTCATAAGAGGTCCCCTTGGCAGAAGGGTGAGGGGAAGACCATCCTGGAGGAGCTGAATGGGGTTACACCAAAGAGGGAAGTCGGGGACAGCCCAAGGGGCCCCAGCAGGAGGACCTACAGGCTGGCCAAATTTGCACTTGGGGAAAGAGTTCTGCATGCCTGTCTCAGATACAGAGCAAAAGGTGAAGCCACGCCAGGTGTTGAGGCCCCCTGGAGCCCAGGCCTCTGTGTGGGCCGTGTGGCCCCAGCCCCAGTCTAATCAGGGGCCCTTTCCAGCCCTAGACACAGTTGCAGAAACCCCAGCTTCCGCCACTCTGGCTCAGCAGCTTCTGCTGGACATGACGTCATGCTCCCGGCCTCCACAGCGGCCAGCTGTCCATCAGGCGGTGTCTGGAAGAATACACTCTTGGGCTCACCCACAGCCTGTGGTGGTGGGGGAGAACCTTAAAAGAAACCCTCACTCCGGCCAGTCCTAGGCGCAGGACGTGGGGAGGCTGTCCCCTGAACGCTGCCCGGCCTGTGCAGCCTCAGCTCGGATTACCGTGGGAGGAAAGGACTGCTTCTCCGGAGCAGCAGCTGCCTCGCACCCAATTTCCTTGTGAAAACATCAGCCCATTATTATCCCAACCTAGGGAATTGCAGCTCTCTGCCTCTAATTATTAAACGAGGCTTCTCCGCCAACTCAGCTTCCTGCCTGACTCCAGCGCTGCCTCCCCCATCCTTGCAGAAGGTTTTCAATTTAACATCTGCAGGCACCCAGAGAATAGGACCGTGCACGGACCCCTCCAGTGCAAGCAGCTCCACAGCAGCAGGTGAGGGACTGTGACTGCTCAGGTGGCTTTGAGGTGTCAGCAGGAAATGAAGAGAGCTCGGGTTCCTGGGTTAGCCACATGCAACAGAGCCACACGGGAGGCCGCTGCATTGCTCCCCAGAGCCCCGTGCCCTGCAGCTGAACAAACCTTGTTTTCCTTGTCCCCGCACAAGGACTTCTCCCATCCTACCCTCAGCACTTGTACCCAGAACCACTACCATGCAATTAGGATCTCTCTGATTGTGCTTAGATAGAATATTTTACAATATTTTATTGTGCTAAAATACACACAAAATGTACTATCTTAACCATTGAGTGTACAGTTCAGTAGTGTCAATCACATTCACAGTGTCATGCAACCATCGCCACTATCCGTCTCCCAAACTGAAACTGTGCCCACTGAACAACCATTCCCCATTCCCTCTCCCCCCAGGCCCTGGCAACCATCATTTTACTTTCTGTCCCTATGATTTCGACTACTCTAGGAACCTCATGTAAATGGAAACATTCAGTATTTGTCCTTTTGTGACTGGCTTATTTCACTCAGCATAACGTCCTCAAGGCTCATCCATGTTGTAGCCTGTGCCAGTTTCCTTCCTTTGTAAGGCTGAGTAATATTCCACTGTATGAACACAGCACATGGTATTTATCCATTCACCTACCGACGGACGCTTGTGTTGCTCCCACCTTTTGGCTTTCATGAGTAATGTCGCTGTGAACATGGGTGTGCAAATACCTCTTAGAGTCCCTGCTGTCAATTCTTTTGGGCAGATACCCAGATGTGGGATTGCTGGATCACTAAAACTAGCTCTAGTTTTAGTTTTCTGGAGAGCCATCATATTGTTTTCCATAGTGGCCATACCATTTTACATTCCCACCAAAGGCACACAAAAGGGCTCAAATTTATCCACATCCTTCCAACACTGGTCATTTTCTGCTTTCTATTTTGTTTTATAGTAGCCGTTGTAACAGGTGTGAGGTATAAAAAAGAACACTGTCACACAAAACGTGTCCTCCGTGGTAAGCAAGCCGTCAGGGGGCCAGAAAGTGAAAGGAAGTCTAACCGGCAGCGTCTCTGTGTGCAGGGCACATCACACCTGCCCACGGCTTTTCCTAAAAGGCGAATCCAGAAACTTTGTCAACAAAGTTGTCATTTTGGTGACATTTATTGACTCTGAGAAAAACTGCTATTTATTCCCAAACCAAGACCACTTACAAGCACTTTCTCTACCCAGACAATGAATGGAAACTGCAGGAAAGAGAGAAAACTTTGTCCAATATAGGGAAAATTTCCGTAAGTTGTTATTTTTAACAAAACTCTAAAATTCGTAGATTTTATATAATATGTATAGAAACGACTTTCAAAGCAAAAGCCTTGGAAGTCGAGCTGCACACTCGAAAGATGAAGTTATTCGGAGCTCCTCTCTAGGAAAGGCCGTTAGGCCTAATCTAATATCATTTGGGGAATCAGTCACATTAACTTACGGTCACACACAGACATGGTTCCCAAGGGCTCCTGCTTACTCTCCCTGAATCAAATCCACTCTCACAGCACGGTACCCTTAACATCAACACTACAACACTCAGGGTACTCTACAGAAAGCACCACAGGCTCGAATGTCATTGCAAAGTGCCTGAGCAATGGTGGCCTCCGGGCAGCCATCACTGATGGGGAAGGTGCACCTGGAGGTTTCCGGCACTCACTGGGGTAGGCAAGCACAGATCAAAGGCATGAACTGGGTCACGTTCACCCCTCTGTGCTTGGGGCCTGCTAGTACACCGGCCACATCACAGGCAATGAGAATTACTAAAGAGCCTTTCTCTAAAATGTCCCACTACCTATTAAAACAAATGCTGTAGAAGCAGCAAATGTTCTCATATGGGATCAGTATGCTATAGGGTACATTTTAACCCCTGGGGGGTGGCAATCAACGAATCATTTACAAGAGTGATTAGGCATCCATTTGGTGACTGGTGGTGGCAATGCGCATGTTCTGGAATTTTTGAGAGGAAAAGGAAGTTGCATTGCCTGGTGCCAGGGTCACAGAACTTCCCCTGCTGGCTCTGAGATGTCACTGAGCCAGGGATTTACAGCACATGGCCCAACAGATACAACCAAAGAGCCTTCCTTGACACAAAAATGAAAACATTAAATGGATTTAACTCTTTGTGGAGAAACAAACTGCCTTCAGGCTGAAGATATGAAAAAGTTCCTCCTTCCACAACTTTTCTTCTAAACTCAGAAAGGAAAAGAAAGCATATAATTTGGAAAATAGTTTCTTTAGATTAAAAAAAAAATCCTTAAAATTCAAAGTTGATATGTTACTAGCAAGTCTAATCAAATTCTGGTATTTGTAATCTAAAAGGTTAAGTTACTAAGAAACATTTCTGGTTTTGGTGTGAACACATAACACATTTTATTTACATTATTAAAGCAAGCAAAGAAAATCAGTTTTCCTCACAGAGGTTTGAGACACAGGAAAAAGATGAAATAGCCACATCTACATCTGTGGTTTGAATTGTGTACCGCAAAAAAAAAAAAAAAAAAAAAATATGTTCCAAGCCCTAAGCCCTGGTACCTGTGAATGGGACCTTATTTGGAAAGGCGGCCACTACAGATGTGATCAAGTTAAGATGTGGTTGCAGTGTATGCAGGTAGGCCCTAAGGCAACAAATGGTGTCCTTATGAGAAGAGGGAAATCTGGACATGGAGACAGAGGGAAAATGCTGCGTGACATTGGAAGAGAAACTGGAGAGACACAGCTATGAGCCTGGGCATTGTGTCCATCTCAGAGAAAGATACTGTCGTTAACCCTCATGTTACTGATAAGGAAACCGAACCCTAGACTGGCGGCCCCTGGTCTGCTTTCCAAGCCTGCATTCCTAGTAACATCTCTCACTTCTAATATTTCTCCCACGCCAGCTACAGGCACACGCCGGGTCCAGTTTTACCTGGTCACAAACACAGCAGCATCCACAGGGGGCGTGTCGTCCTTCCCACCTGGAACCTGGTTGTTGCCCAGGTACCGTGCTCCGCCATATTCCTCGTTCTGCCAGTGGCAGAAGCTCTCCAGGGACCGCTCACCGTGATGCCCGATGGACAACCTGGCCTAAAAGAAATCGAGGGTCAGTGAGAGAAGTGGACACCCAGGAAAGCCAGAGGTATGTCTGGACAGTGTGGATATTAAGGTGGAGAGAGATGCCCGCTGAGATGTCATCGGATGACTTGCTGCCCCCAACCAAAAGCCCAATACTATGGGGATGGGGCACAGACCAAGCAAGAGACCGTCAGGGGCCTCATCTATGAGTTCAAATGAACACTATGTCATTAAAGTATTCTTCTTTTTTGTAAACAGAACAGTGTACCAAGCCACAAAGTGTCCCCTCAGTCTCATGTTCATTGCTTGACTCTGCAGTTAACATTGTCACATAGGAAGGCACTCAATTGAAAGATGAGAAGACAATGCTACAGTGAATCTGAATTGGGGTCAAAGGTCAAGTGTAGCTCCAGAAAGGAAGCCATGATTCCAAAGACCTCGCCATCAAGCTTTGTACCTATCCGAGAGTGGGGTGGGCGGCCCTCTGGGCACTGGGGGGATGTACATGAGCCCACTTAGTGTTCCTTGAGATTCTAACTAGCCTGCGTGCAAGCCATGCCGTAGTACCGACACTGCCCTCCTGTCACATTGATGTCACCTGCAAAGCCAGGGAGGATAAGACAGACAAGGACCGGGACACCCCTCCTTAGCACTCAACAGTGACCAAGAAACTTTCACCCAGTCACACTCTCTGTGTGCTCTGAAAGGTGCCAGTGGGGACTTACAGGACGTTGACGTAGCAGGACAAGCTTGGTAACTTGAATGTTGATTTTAATTCCCAGGCTCTGGTGCTGAAACATGTTGTATACCTATCAAGAGAGAAAAAGAAATACACACAGATATAAATATAAAAATAAAAATACAGTGGTATCCTAGATGGGAACTTGGAACAGAGAAAAGGTGCTAAATTAAAACCAAGGAAATTTGAAAAAAGTATAGACTGTGGTTTATAATAATGTATCAATATTGATCTATTAATTATAACAAATATATCATTGTAATCTAAGATGTTAATGATAGGGGAAACTGTATCTGAGAGCTCTCTGTACCAACTGATCAATTTTTCTATAAATCAGAAAGTGTTCTAAGATACAAATTCTATTCATAAAAAATCTTAATTCGAAATACAGCTATATGCTCCCAGTACTAAAAAAAAAAAAAAAAAAAGAAGAAAGAAAGAAAGAAGAATTACATGCAATTAAATTTCAGTGTTCACATATAAAGTCTTGTTGGAATAAAAAAAAAATACATGTGAGAAATATAACCCAGATTTTATTTTATGGGAAAAGCTTTCTGAGGAAACCACAAAGCCCCCTTAAAAATGAATTACTCAAAAGAAAAGTGTATATAATAGAAACCTTTAGAATCACATGTGTGCACACATACACATAAAGCTAAGCTAGAAATCAGTTGGTTAAAAAAATGTATAGGACAGGTGGTTTTGTAAAAAAGAAGCGGATGTTGGATGATTCTGGCAGAAAATGCAAAATTCCCATTCTGGGTTTTTGTGCAGGGGGCTCGACAGGACCCTTATGAACAGGAGGGGGAGATAGATGTCTGTTGTGCCCCAGCCCACATCATCTCTAACCCCCTCCACAGCCTACCAATGTCGGTATCTCTACCACCCTCAGTGGGGAAACTGAGGGAAACAGGTTCATCGAGGCAGAGCCACCTGCTCAAGACCCACAGCCAGTCGACGAAAGTGTGATGCACGCTCAGCCTTGTCTAGCCAAAAGGCCCATATTCCTTCTTTATTCCCTGAAGTCTGTCACGGAAATAAGTTAAAGTTACAGAAAAGGATGCATCCTTTTCAATTTTGCACCTCTTATGAGCAGAACTCGACATCAAGAAGTCAAGGGAAGTGCTTCCAGAGGAAGAGGAAGGAAACCTCAAATGAGGCAGAGGAAGCTAAGTTGATGTGGATGGAGTTAGGACCCCCAGGCCATCGGGACCCTGTTGAGCTCCTTTTCCATAACATGCAGGGTGCAGGGAGGCCCGTGGAGAGGGTGATGAAGGGTGCAGTAGTCACAAGGTATGGAAGGCACAGGAATGAGAACTTTTCGAATATTTGCCTTGTTTTTTTCTCACAGACATAACCTAGAAGGGAGAATTTTCCAGCAGGGGCATTAAAACTTTCCCCAGTGGATGTTGTATTCACGCTATCAGCACGGCAGCAAGCGACGATCACAGCCAGCCAGGGTCAACTCAGGCCAAGCAGAGCTGGTCAACGCCGCCACGCCTGGCCGCCAAGGTCAAGAGCCAAGCACGCAGTGTTTGAGCGTCTCCCTGACAGAGGAACTGGCTGTGTCACTGCCTGAATTTTACTCTTTGAAAGCTATTATTTAAGTTAAATAAAACCTATCTTTGTGAAACCTAATATTCTTTCCCACAAGGAAAAACAAAACACATTCGGTTGTTCTGTTCTCACTTTTTATTTTTCCCAAACTTTCAAACAAATTAGCTGTCATTTTTCTTTTTCTTTGATACTGGACCATCCATCCACAGGCCAGTGCTCATTACCTATCCCCAAGCCTAGGGTTGAAATGGGGAGCCACATACCTTCTCCCTTGTTTTGGTATTTCAAGAACCACCCAATGGCTATAACTCAACATCTGCTGAAATATTCAGCATTAGGATTGAGTCCAAACTGGTAAACTTCAGTTCAAAACATGAAAATTAGCAAGAATGAAAACTTAAGTTATGAGCAAGAAGCTTCAAGTCACACATCATTTTGTTTTAAGGTGCAATCTAAACACTGCTTGTAACACAGACACCAGCCAAAACCAAAAACATGAAAGAATACTACAAATAATGCAGTAGGGTAATCCTCAGTGCTATTCTGATATGCCACAGTAGAAAAGATCTGCATGGAATGATGCAAGTTTCAGGAAGAACAAAACTACAGGAACAAGCTTCCTTGCTAGAATCACCCATTTTCTCCTTGCCAGGCTGATGCCAGTTCAGAACCACGGGCGTTCCGTACACCATTACCCGAAAGCTGTCACTTCCCAGAATGCATGCACAAAAAGAGATGTGAGATGGATTTGGGGGAAGGGGAGAAAGCTTCATGCTCCAGGGGCCGAGGGAGGTGGAAATAGGAATTTGTTCAATGGGTACAGAGTTTCAGTTTTGCAAGATGAAAAAGCTATAAAGATGGGTTGGACCACAAAATGAATATACTTAACAATGCTGAACTGTACACTTAAAAATGCCTAAGATCGTAAATTTCATGTTATGTGCATTTTACTACAATTCAAATTATGAATTAAAAAAAAAGCTTCATACTCTAAATAACGTTTGCTAGTAACCCTATAAGAAGGCATTTCTCCTGGGCACGTAACAAGGGCACTCACGCCCAGGAAGGCAGGTATAGAGCCTGACCACAGGTAAAGTACTCTGTCACCTGCTGGGTGCCAACCACACTCCAACAGCACACAGGGTAGTGTCTCCCCAAGGCCCCATGCTGAGCCCGGCAAGCTAGATGAAAATCCAACACCGCAAAACACAAGCCTTAAAAACATGTGACAAAGTCTCCCCATCTTTTTTCCCCATGGAAACTCATGCTCAGGAAAAGTCTTAGAGGCAACGGCCACTTGATGTTTAGAAAGACACCTGGCTGGGGAGGGAACCGTGCAGCCAATCGTCTGGAAATTCTGTCTCCGGCGTCCAGCGCTGGCTACACCCCAGCAAGCATTCAGAGCTCTGGCCGCGTTTGTCACATTTCCTTGGCAGCCTGGGGGCTGAGCGGACCCACTGCCAGCAGCACACTGCAGCTCTCCTGGCTGGGCGACCTGGGAACACGGTGGGGTGGGGGGCAGTGGTTGGGGCACATGGGAAGGAGCTGCTCACCATGCTAGGCAGAGTTTTCATGAAAGTACCACCTACCTGCATGACCCAGAGCCTAGCCAGGGACAGACAGGGACCTGTGGGTGACACCCTCGGGTGGCATACACTGCTACTCAGACCCCTAAATAGGAGGGAGCTCTGCTCTCCGGCACAGTGCCTGTGAGCGGGGTTCCCAAGGCAGCAGTAACCAATAACATCACCTGGTTACTTGCGACAAATACACATTTTGGAGCCCACCCCAGACCCACTTTCCCAGAGGCTCTAGGGGTGGGCCAGCCCCTCCCCGCCTCTCCCTGGGCTCCCAGCAAGTGTGAGAACCAGTGACTGCTCTAACCCTATGCTCGTTTTGCTAGTCACCAGAGAAAGGCTTGTTGTCTGTTTCATATGGTAATTGAGTAAAATTGATGTCATTTTCCCTCCAAACAGAACTTGCCTGGAACGCCTCCGAGTTTTCATTCCACTCCCCGGTTGTTAAGGAAGCTAAGAACAACCACAGCTCTGTTGAGTGGCTCCACTTTCCAATTTGGCTGCCCAAACCCAGGGTTTCTTGTATCAGCACCACCTGTTTCCGTCTGCAATTTGTTCTTTAAAATATTCCTGCTCCCGTGTCACTGCCACCCCAACCAAAGGAGAATCGTGTCACATATGTAAAAAGGCACGGCAGCACCTCTGGAGAATGCACAGCAGCCAAGCCAGGCAGCCCTCTGCAGCTTGGGGCCAGCTCCGACACCCAGCCTGGCACACGCGTCCTCCTCTGTGTGGACCTGAACAGGTGACACAGAGCCGGGAGGACTCTATTCCCCTGAACAAGGGGCAGGCAGAAGGAGCCTTTAAAACACAAGCCAGTGCACATCACTCTTCTGCTGAAGACCACGCGGCAGCTTCCCAGAGCACTGGATGAAACCCATTCTCCATGCCCGGCACACGGCCTGCCTACCCCTCACCACGCCCCGCCACCCGCCCCGGCACCCACCGGGAGCCGCCTCTCTCTGTGCCTCCCGAACGCCAGGCTGACCGCACTGGCTGGCTCCTCGTGCTGGCTGAACACCTTCCCCTCCAAGGGGTGGGTCACACCTCTCCCAGAGGGGGCCCTGACAGCCTCAATCACGTGCTGCCACTTGGTTCTTTGCACAGCGGTTACTGCTTTCTGGTTTTTCCTTCTCACTGCACACGTGTTGAATACTGTCTGTGGTTCCCACTGCACGAGCTCCATGAGGATGAGAACTCCTGCAGTCCCTGCTCCATCCCAAAAAGGACAGAAGAGTCGCAAGCACACGTGAAGTGGCTGATACAGCTGAAGGGAATGGGTGCATCTCTTTTCTATTTTTATTGTCAAGTACACATAACAGAAAATTTGCCACCTTAACCATTTTAAGTGTACAGCTGTGTGTTAACTGTATACTTAATCACAGTGTTAAGTACATTGTTGTGTACCCAATTTCCACGACTCTGTTCATCTTGGAAATATGAAACTCTGCACCCAATAAACAACTAACTCCCCAATACTCCCTCCCCCCAACCCTTGGCACGTCCCCATGCTACTTTCTGTCTCTATCAATTTGACTACTCTAGGTGCCCCCTATGTGGAACCATGCAGTTTTGCCCTTCTGTGACCATCTTATTTCACTTAGCAAAATGACCTCACAAATTCATCCATCCATGTTGTAGCAGGTGTCAGAATGTCCTTCCCCTGACAACTGAACAATATTCCCTAGTATGCCTATGCCACACTTTGTTCATCCAGTCATCCTTCGATGGTCACCTGGGTTGCTTCCGCTGCCTGGTCATTGTGAATAATCCTGCTGTGAACATGGGTGTGCAAATCTCTCTTCCAGACTCTGCCTCTGTTTCTGTATACATCCAAGAGAGGAACTGCTGGGTCATACGAGTGAACCTCTTCTCTAGCCCTTGTGCTGGGGTTTTCATTGACTGATTTTTTTTTTATTTTTATTTTTTAGGGGCC